ACCGCCACCCATGCCACTCCCAGCTCTACACTGCTATTTTAGTGCACTAGCTTGAGCAGAGTTAGCATGTGTGTGTCTGCCCCTAAACTGGAAAGCAGGCTCCCAGCAGCAAATATAGATATATTCTGAGGCACAATTCCTTGTGCAGGCTCCTCTTTGGACAGTGTAGCCACATGCTTCCCCGTATTCAAGGCATTACGCGCAGTCTAAATCCTAGCCCTAAGGGTATTTCATAAATAGGTCAAATCAATACTTTTTTGGCTTCTCCTACTGAAAAAAAATTTTTCATATTATTTTCCATAAACCGTGACCTAAATCTTGCTCTCCTTTATTTACAAAAGCAGCATCAAGCCATTGACTTCAATGAGACTTCATCATATGAGTAAAGGAAACAGGATTTGGCCCCATGACAATTCTAAAATATCCCAGGATTTGTTCCGCTTGCAGCCCTCAAAAGATGTTCACAAATAATTGCTGATATTCCTTGTTTTTCACTCTTTAAAATGTTGTTTGAGCTTTCTTTAAAAAAAAAAATCTCTTTCCACACTTAGAGGCCATTTTAAATTCGCACCCCTAAAGCATTAAAACAACACTATAGGTCTGATTTAAAACTAACAAAAATCAGGAAGCTTGGTTTTAATGCCCTGGTCTCTGAACAGTAGGTGAGCTTAGAGACAGCATTAGTGTTAACACAGAATTTCCTTCCTGGTCCATTTCTGTTACATTGAAAGTTTATTTCCACTTTAAGGGTATGAGACCTGACATGACAGGAGTCATTACATATATAAGATTTATCATGTAAATCTATAGGTTCTTCATACAAACTGAAAGTTATGGCTGAATAAGGCTTAATAATGACAAACATTCTTGTCTGCCAGTAAATAGATATTCTGTCATCAGATAGATGTCTGCCTAGCAAATATACATTTTTTTCATGTAAGTGATGGTGTTTGGAAAGAGTGGGAATTGAATGCAGCAGCTCTCACACTAAAAGCATGGCTTACTGCTTAAGTTTAAGAACTAATTCCCACAGCTCACAACAGTAGTATATTCATTAACTTTTGTAAGCCACTAGAGGGAGACAGACATTCACACGCTTGTAATGTGAGTTATGTCATAACATGCAATTCATCCCCAGGTCTGAGAGAGGGAGGGAT